GTCCACTGGTGGAACCTCTTCTAACCGGTTCAGTAGATTTGATGAACCGGTTCTATTGAATAGGTGTGAACTGGTAGGAACCCAACTCTGGTTCAGCCCTATTGATTGCAAACATTAGAGTTCATTGCACAATGCTGACAACTGCCACCTTTACTCCAGGGGACTGTCACCTGCACTGCTGCCCTGTTTCTCCACTGACTCTCTCCCTTTGACTCCTCTCAGCTGGGTCTGGCAAACTCCCTTCGGCAGATGAAGCTACACCACTCTGCCACATTTGCCCTGTGTGTCTTGGAGCAATGCCATTGCCCAGCATCAGGTAGGTTTGTTTTATTTATTTATTTATATGCCGCCCTATTCCGTGAGGGACTCAGATCTGAGGTCAGCAGTGGGAAGAAGTCAGAGAAAATCACCTGGGGGTCATAGGGGTAGGTGGTGGCAGTGCAGTATAGGGCTTCCAAAAGGGCAAAGGTGGGAAGGGGATAGTGGTCCTGTGTGGAAGTTGAAGTGCACACTGTGGCTGTAAATAAAAACTGCTTGTGATGGGCCTGGATTTTGCTCATGCGACTGTGGAGACACCGCAATAGTTGTAACTTTGAGGAGCAGTTGTAACTATCATTTGTTCCATGCACTGCAACTTTGAATAGTTGGTGAACAAATGGTCATTAAGCAAGGACTACCCATAAACACTTTGATAAACTGGCAGAGATACTGTTAGGGTATGGCCAGACAAGAGACAGCTGGACAGTGGGTAGGCAAGAAGTTCAGAAGAAACCTTGTCTAGTTTCTTGGGCTATAAAGGTGATAGGGTGGGGGTGGGGGGGGAGAAAACTAGAGATAGAAATTTTAGAAATCATCCAAGACTAGAGGCAGAAATTTCCTGGGGGGAATGGGCAAACAACATAGACACTTAATTTTGTCAGGTTTGAGCCTTAATCTATTTCTCCCCATTCAGACCGGCATAGCCTCCAGGGGGGACAGGATAATGGAACAGGACATTAATGGTCTTGCTTGGACAATCCAGTGTTGAGATATCCAACAGGGTATCATCAGCATGTTGATAATACCAAACCCTCAATTGATGGATGACTTCACCTAATTGTTACTGTAGAAGTTAAATAGAAGGGACAAGATTATTGAGTCCTGAGGCATCCTAGACTTGACCTTCTTGTCCCATCAACGCTGAATGGAACCAAGACAAAGAAGGAGTATGTGCATTCCCTATATTAGTAAACATGGACACGAATGAAGCAATACATACTCTTTATTCCAAGCTTGAAATGACCCCCATCATCTAGAAATTTCCAATAAAATGTTTTGAGTTAGCCACATTTCAGCAGAATAAAACTTAAACCGACATGTTTTGTGTTTCACCGAAACAAATCTGAAATTGAGTGTTTCAGCCATAGGACAGAGTGGGTACACTGTAAATGTCTGTTGATCCTTTCTTTTCACCTCAGGACAAGAATGAATAGAATAGCAATTCATGCTGAGTGCTATTAGCTGGCAAAAATTTGGTAGAAAAAAAATATTAAAATAAGCTTGAAAACTCTTATTATGAGAGCACTTATTTAATCATCCTCCTACTCCACCTTCCTTGAGTTCAAGTGAAAATGTCTCCTCCTTGCTTTGCCTACAGATATGAACATTGAAAGGAATGTGACAAGAGTTTACTTCATAGTTCTCATTAATAAAAAAAGAAGAAAAGAAACTTTAATCTCTCATATCCTCCATTAATATCAATTCCTCCACTAGGGAAGAAGGACGTTCTGGCAGAAAACTAATTCCAGAGAGTCCATTTACACAAATGGAGTTTCTTTCAAAAATGTTTTAAAGTAAACTTCTTATGATCCAAAACAACGGACAGTAAGGACCAAAGAATATCTTTTTCCATCCCAATACTTGAAATTTCACACCTTTGGAATTACCTTATTTTATTTATTTATTTTGTAGCTAGCACTGCCAAAAAAGTAATGTTTCTGCCTGGAAAGAAAAAAAAAAAGACAAGGGAGGGGGAAAAAAGAAAAGAACAAACTGTTACCAAGAGAAAGGCCCTACTCTGGGAAATACATATAGATTATACTGTCCAGTCTAAATTCTCCTTTAGAATACAAACTAAAATATAGTTTAGTTATCGATTTGAAAGAGACAAGTACGGAAAGCCTTTTGGGGTGGGTGAGAAGCACAAAGTGATTTAAATTAACATGCTTTCCAAATAAATACACGTAAAGCACATTTATAAATAAGATTTTATCTGAATGGTTTTATCATATGACCAAATCACTTTAATCTATTTATTTGGTACTTTGGTACTCATCTACTAAATATGCATCCCTTTGTTCCACATATATGTTTGATCCTATCTTTTCTTGTCCTACTATTGTACACACATTCCTTTACCTATTTCACTGATGTCTCAGCTTTCTCTGCCACATAATTAAGCTGGCAGGTATGTGCTAACATATGCCCACATTTTGACTATTTTTTTGACAATTACCTAAACTGCCAGAATCCTTCCAAAAATTGCAGAATAACAAAAATAAACAAAACAAATAAAAATTAGATGCCATCTTCATTCTTCTTAGATACATACCATCTCAATTAGGAGGCATACCAATCCTAACAGTGCAAATTTAAAGATGCAAGCTACTAAAATTGAAATGCTGTTGTGATTTATCATTAAAAATGGAAAAACATTATATCCAAGGGGGTGAACGTGAACTTTGTGCTGATCTGTTATTACCTGTAATTGTCGTTGTGCAACCAATTATCTACTGGCTCAACAGTGGCATTAAAAGAAATGCTGTGAATGCAGTTTGTAGCATATACAATATCCTTTGGAAGGGGTTGAATGCTTCACGCTGGTGAGGTATTTCTGAACTGTAAGTTGGTAGGCCACCAGAATACCATAATTTCCTTTTTAAATTGGAGATGGGAGACTCTCTGCAGCTCTTTCTCCTTGCCACTGGCTTTTTACCCATTGGGAAAACAAAGGCTGTAACCCTTTGTGGAAGATTAGGCACTATGATAATAGCAGAAAAGATACTTGCAGGGTGATGTGAAAGTGTTTTGAGGGATGAGTTTTGGTGAATGAAATAGTTCTAATGGTTAATTGTTACAGAAACTCCTGCTTTTCCCAGATACTAATTTGTCTTTTTCCTGACCAAGGAAGGAGGAAGTAAGCAATCATAGGTTCTTCTTCAAAAACATCACCACAATTTAAGACCATTGCAGCATTCCCCAGTCAGGTGATCAAAATTCAGACACTTGGCCACTGATACATACTGATACTGTTTGCAGTGTCCTGTGATCACCTTCTGCAGCCTATTGACAAGCAAAGTCAATGGGGAAACCAGATTCACTTAACAACCATGTTACTAACTGGTTGTTCTGTTACTAACTGCAGTGATTCACTTAACAACTGTGGCAAGAAAGGTCATAAAAGGTGGCAAAATTCACTTAACAACTGACTCACTTAGCAGCGTATTTTGGGCTCCAGTGTGGTCATATGTCAACGATTACCTGCACAACAAATACCAACGTAAAAGCAGGTGTTCAAAACCAGGATCTTCTTATTGCAAGCTAAAAGCATTTATCTTCCTCCTACGTAGGGCTGCTTCAGTCCAGAGTGGGAACAGCATTGTAATTCCCTCCCCACCCCAAAAGGAAGCTTATCAGCTGCTCTACGCAGAAACATCTGGGTCTCCAAACAATAGCTTCAATTTACAAATGCCACTGTCTGCATTTCCCACCTTTGATTTCCCTATGACCTCTTTTTTCTGCCTCCCTCCCGCCCCCCAAATGATATTAGCGAAGCCATACGCCAAAATACACATTCGATTTTTAAAAAAATAAATGCCACAAAATTCTTTCTGCAGCAGAATAACACACGCCCCCCTCCTGAAGATGCAATAGAACTCTATCATATTTTCTTCCTAGATAGGCGTTTATTGCCTCCCCGTCGATCCTCGTAACTCTATGATTAACTGCATAATCCCTCTCAGTCTAGACTCTAGTCTAGACTCTCCATCCATCGAACGATTACAGACCGGATGGCCTTTAAACCAGGAAGAAGTTGTCGAGGTAAAGCTTCCGGTTACAGTGCCTTGTTTAAGAATCATTCTGACCATTCCCGGCAAGGTGTAAAGTCTTGAGCTGTTTCTCCTGGCCGGCCGTTACAGCTTCCTTGCGAGGCGTGTGTGAGCGGCCTGGCTCGGCCTTCCTCCTCGGCATGCTCGAGCAGAGACGGTCTTTCCCCCCAGAGTATGACCGGCGCTTTCAAGTAAGTCCCGGGGCGTGTCATCCATAAAAGTCATAGGACTCTTTCCCCCTCGTTATCCTCAACAGAGATGGAGAGCAGTCGGTTGGTTAGCACTCCCGAGGCTCTGCTGTGGGGAGAAAGCGAAGGTGCCACGGGGAGAGCTGTTATTGCGGCGACAAAACCGCACCACAAAAGACTTCAGGCTCCTATAAAAGCTCATTTGTCTCCAGGACGTAAATTCTGCCTCCTGCCCAAGTTTATTTTTATTTATTTATTTCATTTGTCAAGCATGTATAAGAAAATAGATATAAGTATAGACATGATTATGAATACATGAAATGGATAGAATACAAGGGAATATTAGGACAGGGAACAGTAGGCACGCTGGTTAAAGACCTCTTAGGAATGGGGCGAGGTGGACAGTAGACAGTCTAAGGTTAAAGTTGTGGGGGTTTGGGGAAGAAGTTATCAAAACAAACAAACAAAAAACAATGCGATCCCTTTATTCCATGGGCCTAAATTCTATATTTGCTTCCCATGACAGTTTGAGCATCCTTTGAATCTTTGAACCACCTCTGTAATTTGCGTTTAGATCCATTTATTGTTTTCCTTTTCATTCTCCTTCAGTTATTTTATTTTATTTATCAAAAGAGTCACTGTCTATGGAGATTTCTCAGTCATCCAGATCAAGGTTGTTCCCAAAGGTGCCCCCCCCCGCAAGGCTATTGGAAGAACAAAGTCCACTTTGCCTTTTGGGGAGAAAAAAAGTACCTTTGAGACAAAGCAGCCATCGTGATCCTATAGGAGTAGAATAAAAAGAAACTTGTAATAGATAGAGGAATATTAATGCAAAGTAAAAAGCATACCATGATTTTAAAGTTTTAAGTTTTTAAATACAGCTGCAAGAAATATATTTCATACAGTTAATGACTTCTAAGCTGGAGAATTGCAGCAAAATACTATATACATAATTACATTCTGCATGCTTTTGAAATCAATGCTTCAAATTCTAGCAATATTAAAATGTACTGGATCTTTCTGCCAAAAGTCAAAGGTTCATTGTTTGGGATTTATGACATATAATGGTTTGGAGAATATAACTTCCTAGAGTTTCTGTCTAGCAATGGATGCTCCATATGATGGCGGTGAAGTAACTGTAGTCATGGAAGAGATAGAAAGCACATACACTTATTCATCCCCAGTGCCATCTAAAAAGAAGAAGAAATATAGAAGTCCTGGAGATCAAGGGGAAAAAACTAAAAAGCCCAGGTGAGTGATTTTTCTATATGAACAATCAGTTGTCGTCAATTGTTGTTTAGGAATTACTATTCCTTATTTTGTCTTTTTGTAAATATTTTAAAATGCATGATGATACTTTCACACATATACATACTCAGCAAAAATCAACCTGCTCTGTGGCTAATGGCATTTATTACACAATTAATGGAGTTTGTTGTGAAATTATGATTGAGTTTTTGGATACACCCAGAGGCAGCAAATAAATTTCATAAATGATACCCTGTTCAAAATGTTAAAATATTGAACTATAGTTCCATAACTGAGAAGTGAACAGCCTTTTATTCTTACTCGGCAATAATGAGATTCTTTGAAGAGTTTCATTTTTTAAATTAATAATTTAGTTATGCTTTAAATTACTTAATAGCTTTAGCATTCCACGTAAAAATTGTGGTTATAGTTTTTGCTTCTTAAGTAACTATGGAAATATATATGTATACTTTATGTATCTTTATTCTTATGAAGCTATGTATATGTGTTTGTACCTTTAAATTTATTTTTATTTATTGGATTTATGTGCTGCCCAACTCGTCTAGCAACAACATGGAGTTGCAGATTTCTAGGCAACATTTTTTGAAATTGTTTTGCCATTACTTTTCTCTTATGGCTGAGAGTGAGTGACTGGCCTAAATATATGCAGCTAGCTTCATGCTTAAGACAGGCTTAGAATTCATGGTCACCCAGTACCTTTAACTGCTATACCTAATTGACTGTCTATGATTATGACGGTGTCCTGGGGTCAAGTGATCCCCTTTTGCAACTTTCAGAAAAGCAAAGTCAATGGGGAAACCAGATTCACTTAACCATTTTCCTGCAGTGATTCACTTAACAAATGTGGAAAGAAAAGTTGTAAAATGCGTAAAACTCACTTAACAAATTTCTTACTTAGCAACATAAATTTTGGGCTCAATTATGGTTGTAAATTGAGAACTACTTGTATATGGGATTCTCACACAATTTCCACTTGGGCACTGAATAGATTCAAATTAGCTCACAGAGCATGGTCATTGTCAAGAGTGGGAAAAACTACTGCAAAGCATATGGAAATCATCAGATTGCTTGCATCTGCAGTAATGACAGACATATTAATGGAATAGCATCTGTTTGTGACTTGAGTTGAAGTAGGTCAAGGTATACATATGAGAAATAAATCTTATTACATCTTTATCAAAACTGCAGTAATAATACATTAAATATCTAAAACTCTTCTGTGCTTTTATGATTCCCCAGATCAACTGTATGGAGCAGCCACTACACTTTGTCAAATGACAGGGTTGGCTCTATAGCAAAATAATGGACTACTGTTGGAATGCTATATTAAAAAAGCACATTTTCTATGGACCTGACTTGCATGCAATTGTCTAAAGGTGCTCTAAAAGTTGCTGTTTCAGAGTAATTGTTTATTAACAAAGGCAAGATTAAAGACATAGTTAATAATAGAATTTAGGCCAGCTGACCATTTTTGTTTAGAATGAGAATTAACCCAAGTTAAGATAACTTTTATTGTCATTTTTTGTGAGCACTCTGGTCCACATTAAAAATAAAATTATGTTGCCTGCTCTCAAGAGAAATTACATATCTGGCCAAACACATTCAGAACACACATACAGATGCTATACACATATATAAATATCTGCCTGCAGCAATGGTGGGTTCCTACCAGTTTGGACTGGTTCGGCTGAACCGGTAGTGATTTGACGGCCTGGGTTGCTGGAACTGGCAGTGAACCAAGCCTGCCATGCCCCCGAACTGGCCCATGGTGCCCCCATCTTGTTTTCCAGTTCTGCGCATGCGCAGAACAATTTTAATTGCACTGCACATGTGCACACAGCGCATACGAGCAAAACAGCAGTAGTGCCTGCTGGAACCCACCCCTGACCTGCACCCATTTTTGTTTAGAATGAGAATACACACACACACACACACACACACACACACACACACACACACACACACGTATTAATCACTGTCCATTTTGAATACATAGTGGAAAGAGGAAATTTGAGAGTTCATAAGCTTGATGCTATATGCAACAAAACTTTGACTCAATCTAGATGTTCTGTTTTGGATACTACAAAGCCTCCTCCCAGAAAATAACAAGGGAAACAGATCATGAAGAGAATATGTAGGGTCCCACCCAGACAAGCATCACTTATATGCCATATCCTGGATAGAAGAAACTGCCAATAAACTTTTTTGTCATCCTCATCACTCTCTGCACCTTCCTATCTGAAGCAGTAATGCTTCAAGAATGCTCTAGAGCAGTGTTTCTCAACCTTGGCAACTTGAAGTCCGGACATCTTCAAGTTACCAAGGTTGAGAAACACTGCTCTAGAGAGTCAATTTTTGTCTGTATTCAAGAACTCATTAAGAACTAACAGAAGAATTTGAATGATATGGGTGTTTTAAAAGTCCCATTCTTTTTCAAGAAATTCTGCTTAAGAGTTTCTCATTCTTATTGCTCTCAACAGTATCCTGAAAAGAGTCCACATCCCATGCTTTTCATTCTAGATAGCAAAACAAGCCATTATCATCTGTTTTATTATTTACAAGAATATATTAAAAGCAAAATCTCTGTTCCATGGACCATGGATTAAATAATGGTGCATGCCATTTACTTGTGTCTGTTTCAATTTATTTCATGCCATATTGTAATTCTTTTTTGAGGGGGAGGGGGGAGAAGATGTACCAATACTTTTGGTATAGTTGAAAATAAGACTTTCTGACATCAATAGGACTTGTAAGGGAATAAGGTTCTGTAGAATTTGCTTGCACACATAGTTTTGGGATGTTAATTGAACAAAGCTTGTAGTCCTAGTCTTGGTATAATTCTGTTAAAAACTTTTTATCATTGTTTATTGAAAATTCGTGTGAAAATGCAGACCAGGAGTAGATGAATAATTTGCTTACATTATAATTTGTGAGGAAACTAGAAAAGTATTTTGCTTGTTTTTCAGATCTGCATATCTTCTGTATTATTATGATATATATCTGAAAGTTCAGCAGGAGCTCCCACACCTTCCTCAGTCTGCAATTAACAAGAAGATCAGTGAGAGTTGGAGGCTGCTTAGTGTAGCAGAGAAAAGTTATTATTTGGAGAAAGCTAAGTTAGAAAAAGAAGGTCTTGACCCGGTAATTAATTTGTTTATAAATATGATTGTAAGTCTGCAGGTCCTTTGTGTGCATGTATGTGTGTACCTGCATATTTTATATGATATATGTATTGGAAGCTCAAAAACAAATAGAATGCTGTTCTTAGAGGTACTCAGGAGGATAATTAGATTTCCATTAATTTCTATTATAGATTTGTAGTCATAGGATGTTATTGTATGGAAAATTCCAAGTTCATAGGAATCTAAATACCTGCAATATTGGACACTAGTATTCTTTATTATTGATTGCAATGTCAAAGAGCTAATTAATAGCAAACAGTAAACCCATTATAATATTTTATATTTTGAATTCAGTATTTATTGAAGATTGATTTTGGCAAATACATGTTCTCTATAGGAAGCTGCCAGATAGAAAATCTACTGCTGGAAGAATACTATGTGTGAGATGACTAATATATCTCAGGAATTCCATCAGTTTCATAGTTTAAAGTGTTAATAATAGTAAACATAAGTTATTAAACATGTATGATGCCTGATTCTTGACATCACTGAGTAGCTCACAAACAAATTACAATAAAAACAATAAAAAATTAAAAAAAATAAAGGTGCCAATCACAATAAAATGACAGTTTATATTTATATTTATTTATCTGGCCTTCCTCACAGAAGGCCAGATAAATATAGTTAAAATTAGAGAAGATGTGAGGGTGAGATGAAACATTTGCTTAGAATAAGAGTGTGGGGGTGGAGGTTTGCCTTAGAAAGCTGGCAAAGAAACCACTGAAATAGAGCCAAGCTGATGACTCTATATTCTGTCTTATCTTTTTCCATAGAACTCAAAGTTGTCTTCCTTGACTGCTGTAGTTCCAGATATTCCAGGTTTTCGTAAAATCCTCCCTCGTTCTGATTACATAATTATTCCTAAAGGAAGTCTGCAGGATGAGAAAAATAAGCCACACGTGGAACTTCATGTGACCCAGGGCCAAACAGCACTGGAAGGACAAACAGCTGCTGCTAATGTCACAAGTGTTTCCCATAGTACTGTGCAGAACATACTTTCAGTGGACTCCAGCCAAATTGGCATTTCTGAGCAGTGCATTGCCATTGAAGGGGTATCTGAAGATTCCACCTCATTTGTTCAAGCAGATACAATAGAAGAAGTTGTCGCATCAGAGATCTTGTCTCGTTATGTCAGACCTGCTGCACATAAAGTGGCTGGCGATATCTTCCTGGATGAAGAGGCCCCTTTAGAAACAGGCGATGGATATCCCTGCCAAGCAACCAGTGTGGTTATTGAAGAAACTTTGGTTAACACCTCAGAGGCAGCAAATGGGAGCATGACTGTGGCACAGCCACAGGCTTCACATGGCCTTTCTGTGGTAACAGTGGTGACTAGGAGAGTAAGTAAAATGCTCCCTTTAAAAGAATTGCATTTGAGATCTTAATGAACTACTTGATGTGAGCTGTTTTGCCAGAAAGTGTCCTCGGAATTTTAAAATTGAGTACAATGTAGAAAACAAGCAGTTTCATTACCTCTATCTTTTATTTCTAGGATAGACAAGAAAATAATTCTGCAAGCCCCACTGCACAGTTCATTATGATGCCTCTTACAGCCCATTCTGTTTTGGAAAATCCAGCATCAATCAAACTGGTCAGTAAAAGAAATGCTGATACCAGGTGTTTTGGAACTGCATATTCAGTAACTGAATCATACTGTATCAGTAGATCGTTGAATATGTCTAGGATAAATTGAACACGATTCTAAATTGAAGCATTTTTCTGCGGTCTGAAACTTCCCCGTATATAAGTTCTGAAACCAAACTTTTACTTTCATCACTTTACAAAGAGGAGCACATTTGAATTTATATTGAAATATGTGTTTCCTGAATGTTTAATATAGGCCGCCTGGGTTGATTTTCTTCTGTTACTTCTACCTGAGGAGCTGACAGATCAGACAAACCAGGTGGACTGTGTCCTCTGATACTATATCCCACTTTATATAAAACCCTTCTCTTTAAACAGTTTAAATGGAAAATTGCTTTATGTTTTAAAGGTTTCCGAGGAGAGCTATAGTTCAACCAATAAACAGGAATTCCATTTTCACTCTTATTAGGAATAATCATTCACAAATAAAATGAAAAAGGATTTTAAATGCATCATATGTACTATGTTAACAAAGGGGTAGGCAATATAGTTGGTCCAGGTAGTTTAGATTTTAACTCCCATGAGCTCCAGTAAGAAAAAAGAATGGAAATTTTAATCCTGAATATAATAATGATATTTAATTATTTCCCATTAGTTATGTACATGAGATCCTGAATGGACAATAGAATGAAAATGGTTTGGGACTAGCTTAATTTGAGTAAGATTCTTTAAATAACACCCAGTTATTGCAGTGCTACATATAAAGATGATCTTATATCATTCTGATACTGTGCACCAATATGATAATGAAGCAAAACCACAATAATTAAAAAAGTCTATATGATAACAATAAATCAAAGTGGGCAATTAATAAGAGTTTCTTTATGATCCAAGATTCATTCCTATTAATACCAGTGGTGCAAACTATAAAAAGAAGGGGAAGAAAAATTGTTAATATTCAGATATTAAATATAAACCCATTGCCCTCCATAATAAATGTGATTTGCATAGCTGATGCACTGTAATTTCTTTTTCCCCTTGGGGCTCAACATCCTTTGCAATCCTTTGCATTTGACTGCTTTACATGCAGAGCAAGTATACTGTCTCCCTTTCTCATGAATAAAATAATTTCAATTTACATTGCAGTTGCTGACTCAATATTTTGAGTTAAATATTCCTGATTTGTTTTTGTAAAAAATAAAATTCCAACAATATCTCTGATTTTAGATTCTCTTGTTAAAATTATACAACCATTTGAAAACATAACAAGAGACATTATAATACAACTGGAAATAAAATATGGATAATGAAAATCAGTCAGCATAATACAAGTATAAATAATAGGATATAATAAAAGCAGCTGTCTCAACTATTTGTTTATTCTGCTCCCAAATCTTAAAATTATAATTCCTGCTATATGCAAGGAGCAATGCAATACTTTAATATGAGATTATCCTAGATCATATAATATTTGTCTTGAGCAATAACTCACAACGACATTTGAAGTAGAAACAAAGCTACATATCTCTTCTATTGGAGCAAAACTTCTTGTTGTGCCTTATGCCATTTAGTTTTGTAAAGTAATCTATATCCTTTCACTTCAGACAACTACTTACACTCGGAGGGGGCACGGAAATTGCACCAATCCTGGCTGTGCCTTTACTTACGTTACCAGACATAAGCCACCAAAATGCCCCATGTGTGGAAACTTTCTGGGAGGGAAGTGGATCCCTAAGGTATGTGAAATTAATTTTAAACATATGACATTGCATTGAGGAACTTTTGTTTGTTTTGGGTTGGGTCTGTAAAATGTTTATTTCTTACAACATTATTATTTGTACAAGTAATGTTTTTAAAATATACAATATACATTACATAAATATATGTAATGAATAGCATTGAAAATTTATTTGCTGTTTTAACTAATTTCCAAGGGAAAATGCTTTAGGATGTCTTCTACCTTAACTGAACTAAATTTAATTATGAAATAAATTATTGTTTTGAAATTCTAGATTTATTTTAAAATACAGCTTATTTTAATGGGTTATGAAGATGGATTTGATTTTTTTATTCAAAGTTTTGTATTTTACTCTTTAATGATTTACAAAATGATTAATTATTTAATATAAATTAAAATCAAAGTCATAACAATATAGAAAATCCTGTTTCAAAGTATAATTGTCATTGTTTGATTCTCAAAATTTAAGATAATTCTGCCTCCCCCCCCGAAGATGACGTTAATTTTTCACAGGGTGCCATGTACAGTATCTGTAGCAGATTCAGATATTACATATTTAATGCTAAATTGAAATGTTAGAGAAGTTTAAAAAGCATGATCAGATCTACTTGTTTCTTATTTCTCTAACTTCTTGATTAAAAATAAGGAAGAGTGAATTGTTTTAATTTGTCATAATCTTAAGAATTCTGAAGAGTTCTGAGTTTGATGTTTTCATTGCACTATTGTTGATGTGGCCCAGTTTTTCTCATCTTTGGCAACTTTAACATGTGTGAATTTCAACTCCAGAACTAATTTGGAGAGCTGTTTGTTTTTGTTTTGCAGGAGAAACCTCTAAAAGGCAAATCTGAACCAGGTTCAGGGCTACCGATAAAAACCTTGGGCCTGAAAAAGAATCAACTACCATTAACCTTTGGACAAGCATTGGTTCAAGATAATTCTGCTAAATGTGTGCTAGAAAGTTCAGAAGCAGTTACCCAGCTTCTCAAAGCATCCCCCGTTGAGGGGCAAATGCAGGAGACTGAATGGGAAGAAGTGATAATCTCTGAGGCTCATATTCTTGCAAACAATGTACAGTCAGAAGAGCAAAGAGGTGCCACTACCATTATTCAGCTTCAGAAGAGCCTTGCACAGGTAGAGCCATCGTTAGAACAGAAGGAGAGAGAAAATGAGCCATCTGCTGAGACAACAAATGTTCCCAGTCCTATTTCACACCCAACTTCTACTGTGAAAAATACAACAGGGTAAGTCAAATTCATGTGGACCAAAATGGGGTATAGATTAACATTGTGTCAGAGTGCAACACATAACTTAGATTAAAATAAACCTATGTTTTATTCAGTGTTCTCCAAGAACTTTTGTTTTTCCAATGTTTTCAGATAAAATTTTAGTTCTGAATCTATACAGGTAAAGGTTTCCCTTGCACATATGTGCTAGTGGTTCCCAACTCTAGGGGGCGGTGCTCATCTCCGTTTCAAAGCTGAAGAGCCAGCGCTGTGAGAAGGTGTCTCTGTGGTCATGTGGCCGGCATGACTAAATGCCGAAGGCGCATGGAACGCTGTTACCTTCCCACCAAAGGTGGTTCTTATATTTCTATTTGCATTTTTACATGCTTTTGAACTGCTAGATTGGCAGAAGCTGGGACAAGTAACAGTAGCTCACTTAGTTACGCGGCGCTGGGGATTCAAACTGCCGAACTGCCGACAAGCACTGATCAACAAGCTCAGCGTCTTAGCCACTGAGCCACTGTGTTCCTTTCTGAAGCTATACTCAAGAGTTAAAGCTAGCTTTTAAAAAAAATGTTTTCCTGTGACTCGTAACAAAGTAGATTAAGAGTCAAAATGTTGTCTTTGTCCTTTAAGTAAGTTGTTATGTACTGTTATGGCAGGAATTTCCTGTGAGATTCTTAATTACATTTCTTTCCTTTTCAGCGGTGATGCGGTTGGTGCTGTACCTAAGGGTATGGAGCAGAAGAGCAAAGCAAAACCCAAGCCTTCCTTGCTGGCTGCTGCGAGACCCATGAGAGCCATTTTGCCCGCTCCTGTTAGATTGGCAAAAGAAACTAACCAAGAACAGATCTCTTGCGGACAATCATTTAGAAACAGTGGTAAAAAATAAGTCAAATTTATGCTACGGTTTCTGAATTGTAGGCTTTCATTGTATTTGATGGGTAAGCTTAGATGTAATTTAGATTTAAATTCTAAGTTATTTTTTAATTACTTCATCACTAGAGCTAATGAATAGTGCAACTGAAATTACAAAAATCAGTGTAACAAAATGAAACAGTCATAAAAAAATTAAAAAATTACAGTTGAGTTCTGTAAAAACATTAGTTAATTTACAGTTCAAAATGTGTGTCTAAATGCTTGAAGCAAAAAAAAAAAAGTTTTGATTTGGTGTTGAAGAGAGCAGAAAATCAAATGAGATTTACAGATGATTTGTCCCATTCCATCTTTCCTGGAGCACTAATTGTAAAATTTGACGTAATCCAGTATGTTGCTTACTAATGTTAAAATGTCCATTTGCCTGTTTTTTCAAGAAGAAAGTTCCCCAATAAGAATCTCAGGATTAAAGCCAAATACTCTGAAGCAGCTGGGTCAGAATCCTATTCAAGCATCCAGTGCTGAAGATCAGAAGGTAATTTTAGATTTTGCCAAAATGCTGTTCTTCAATTTACTAGTTAATTAGTTTGAATTCAGCCTTCTAATGGCAAGCAGTTAGAACCAGTTCAGAGACTTTATACTGTAGATACTTCTCTACAGTACCAAATGGGAGAGGGCTGAATTGATTTCTCCACGCTTCATGGAATCTTGATCTAGTTTGGTGAAATCCCACACATATTGGAATTTAGCAGTTTTGAGTGGAGCAAGTAATGTAACATTAAAAAATTGTGAACTTTGTGATGATGTATTTTTCTGTCAGAAAACTTCACACTACACCTCACTTCATGTTTATGTCTTGCCTTCTTGTTCTCTGTCTAAAGCTTCACTGCAGCACAAACAACTCAACATCTCAGGTCAAAGTGGTGGAGGTCAAGCCAGATGTTTTCCCTTCTTATAAATATAGCTGCACTGTAACCTTGGTAAGAATAATTGACAATTGGAAATCTGTAATTGCAGTACCCAAATGCTGTATATATATATATATATAAAATGTTCTGCTTCGGATACCATGAAGCCTCCTCAAGGAAAACATGTCATGAAGAGGATGTGTAGCGTCCTAGACAATACTGCGGACTCTGGACAAGCATCACTTATTTGCCATGTCCTGGATAGAAGGGGATAGATGGATAGATGACCTGCCAAATCATATTTTGTGCCATCCTCACCACTCTCTGAACCGCAGTAATGTTTGCAAACCTGACAGTAATGCTATTAATACGTCAGGATGCTCTCAAGCATCCCTCTATAGAAAGTGGTAAGGACAGGGGAAGAAAGATATACTTTCCTCATGCAACACAGTAAATGCAGGAGCTGCTATACCTGCTTTTCCAATGTTTCACTGTTGAGCAACCAAGCCAGCCTAGCCAGCCTACCAAGCTCACTACCAAGAAAGCGAATAAGAAATAATAAACCAAAGAAATCAAAAGTGTAAAGCAAAAAAAAAAGGGGGGGGGAGTGTAACAATCTAGTTCACCATTCACCAGTCCTCTTACAAAGAAAACCAGTTTAATGTGTTTTTCTTACCTGTCTGCGTGTCATAATAATGCAGTGAAATGGAAATTGTTATCTGTCTTGATATTAATCCATAATAAATATGTTTTTTTCTTGGCATTTTGGTGAAATTTTAATACTTCTCTATATTTATACCAATATTAATGATTTAGATTTGTTTGCATGACCCCTCCTGATTAACTACGTTTCGGATGAATAGTTTCCCCTGATTGACAGCATAGCAACCAATTCCATAGTTTTGTACCGTTGATATTTGAAAAGATATTCTGGAAAATGTAGTAAGTTAAAATAAGAGTGGATAAACATTTGAGTTTTCTATATAGGATTTGGGATTGGCAACCTTACGTGGCAGAGGGAAATGCAAGAACCCTTCTTGCACTTATGTGTATACTAATCGGCACAAGCCAAGAGTCTGTCCCCGTTGTGGCTACAACCTTGCCAAAGACAGAACTGAGAAAGCAGCAAAATCTGTGGTGAGTTACGGTTACTTTAAGCTTCCTTCAACTGAGTCTGTGATTTTGAAGTCCATAGGACCTTATATCTGAATAAATCTGTATAGGATAGACCTAGAGGCAAAGCAAATCTCTGCCTCCCCGCAAGGTTTGACTTTGTTGTAAGCAAGAGTTGGTCTTCCCCTTTCACTGGTGCCAAAGAGGATGAGGCAAAGAACCTGGATATTTTCTTCTGACTTTCTCATTTAGAGATGTAGCATGAATATAAAGGGAAAGCCCCTGTATTGACGGTAACCAATCTTCCATTGGTCAGTTGGATCACTCAGAATTGTTAGCTTATGGATGCATTAATATGTAAGCAGGAAAGGGCTGGTCCTTAATGTATTTTCAATGTGTGAGAGTCTGCACTAATTTTCTGAGGAAAAAAATTCTTTCCTATTCCTGTTAACAGTTCTTCTAACAACATGGCCTTTCTTCCCTTAGTCCAGCTACAGTATTATAATTTAGTGCCAAATTGCAATTGCAAAGATAGGAATGCAGTGTGTGAAACTTTGCAATGCAAGTTGATCTAATGTAATTGTCCTGAAACAACCCCACTCCCTTTTATTTTTCCCTTCATTTTTAATGATATCTTCTTTGATGGCATGTAATTTATGGCTAAAAATATGTAATGCATTTCTCAGACTAATTGTCCCCATGCAACAATGTTATGCCAGTTTTATTGATTTGGAATTCTGTCCTTTTACAATAATAATTGACAGAAAGAATCAGAGGGATAGCGCTGAGAAGTTACTGATTTAATGAAGATATTTCTGCTTCCATCCCCATCCACAAATTGAATGGAAATTAGCAGTTTATTGTAATAGGAATCATTGTGAACAGTGAAAGGTGACCATGTATAGGTAGTTCTCGACTTACTATCACAATTGAGCCCAACATTTCTGTTGCTAAGTGAGACACTTATTAAGTAAGTTTTGCCCCATTTTATGATTTTTCTTGCCACAGTTGTTAAATGAATCCCTAACTTGTTAAGAGAATCTAGCTTCCCCATTGATTTTGCTTGTCAGAAGGTCGCAAAAGGTGATCTCATGACTATGGGACATTGTGACTGTCATAAATATGAATCAGTTGCCAAGCATCTGGATTTTGATCACATGACCATAGGGGAATACTGCAAAGGTTATAAGTGTGAAAAACAGTCACGAGTCACATTTTTCAGTGATGTTGTAACTTTGAACAGTCACTAAATGAACTGTTGTGAGTTGAGGACTAGCTGTATTTAGAATTTAGACTTGTATGTGAGCTATTTCACCTTTGGACTTTTCTTACCTGCATACCTCTTATTCAAATTTTTCCAGTGACTCATTTTGATTTTTCAATACATAAGTTCAGAAATCTGTGACAAAATACAGATCATTGCCAAAATGGTCTAATATTGAGTGTTTTCAGACACTCTACTGAAGCAGTTCAGTTTGTGAAGTCTTTTTCCCTTGGGCTAACAGGAATTGGGAATTCAGTAGCAGTGCAGTTGTAGGACATTTTGATTTTCCAGCAACTGGATTTAAAACCTTATCTTTCTTAATTTACTTTTTAACTAGTTTTCCTTGAAGGGGAAGGAAATTGATATAGCCACAATATAGTGCAATAATTAATTCCCTCTCTTTATCAAGCATACAGCCTGAGATCTTGTACACTAAGTCTTCCAACTAAATAAAATAAAATTTAATTGTGATAAATGGTTTTGTTATTCAATTTTTATCATTTTTTGCACCACTGCCAGTGGATTGACTGTATTTTGTATCCATTAGCGGTTTTCTCTAAACATCAGAAAGATGGCAGAAATTTATCCTGCCAAGAGTAAGATAATTATTAACAAGTGGCTTGACAGATAATTAAGATGATATGTTTTTTTGTAGGAAGTAACTTCTAGCCCTGCACATGTACTAAATACCAATGAACCTCTAATTCAGTCTCATAAAGAGATCCAGCGCCAGTCCACTCTGCAACTTCTACGCAAAGTAATTCAGATCCCTGAAAATGAATCTGAACTCTCAGATGTTTTTGCACTGATTCATGAGCTCAATAGCTCACGGCTCATCCTGTCTAACATGAACGAAGAAACGGTTACCATTGAGCAGACTTCCTGGTCAAACTATTATGAGTTTCCTTCTTCCCAATGCCTTCTCTGTAACAGCCCTTTATTCAAAGGAGGGCCAAAGTAAGTGAAATTACAATTATTGCCACCTTTCTGAACATTACCATGGTACATTTCCTTTTGAAAATTCTCCACAATGAAACTTAGAAACAATGGCTGTTGCATTTGTATTTTTGTCACATTAATGACTGAAATGAAATGAAACTGTAAGAAGAACAACTTGTCCATACCCGTCAAGAATAGGCTATTATGTTTATTTGCTCTTTTCCTTATGTCTTTATCCCAGAACCTGATTAAATTTTTTTTTATCCTGTAGCTTGAGAAAATTACTTGGCTAGTCTAATTTTGTTAATTGAGATTCAGAAAGCTTTTAAGAGCCATATAATCACAGTACAGGAAATATAATCTGAACAGACATGTCAATGAGGTACAGCTCATTTTTCTTCAGAAAGGAATAGAAGATAGTTTTAGTATCTGATTGCTCTTTTGCAATTTTCCTCTTCAACTGCATTAGCAGGATGAGGTGTTGGGTTTTTTCCAAAGCTGATCAAAAGGCTGATAGTTATCAAAACAGGGAGCAAAAGAGGCAAACTTCCACCCTTAAATGTTAAAAAAAAGTATGAAGAAACAGATAAGAGCTGTACTAAAATTTATCCCCAAATTGTTGGAGATGTAGCCACAAGTCTGGAACATTCTACCATATGTGGTGGACATGCCCCATCACAAGAAAATACTGGTGCAAAATTTGGAAATGGTTGGAGGAATTACAGAGCAAAAAATAGAACTAAAACCAGAAGCATTCTTATTAGGACTATTAGATCAAAAAATGGATAAACAACTTCAATACATAATAATACATATTCTCACTGCAGCTAGGATTGCTTTTGCACAAAACTGGAAAAAAATCAATACAGCTGTAGATGAAACAATAACCAGAAAAGTACTCGAACGTGCAGAGATGGACAAAATGACAATAGAACTAAAAGAAAGAGAAGAATCAGATTTCTATAAAACTTGGAATAGAATTTATAAGTGGCTAGAAAACAGAAGCCAAAACAGAAAATAGAGAATGTAAATATAATGGTGATATAAATAATTAATATTATTATAAGTGTTACTACTACTGTTGTTATATTATAGGACAAAGTAAAAGCAATAGGAAGGCAATGCAAAATAGAGAACTAGAAAGGCTAAACATGAAAGCCAATACAGAAGACTGTATAATTGCTTTACATTATTATGTATGTTTTGTGTTTTGTTTTTTCTTGTGTTTTTCTTCTGTTTTTTTAAGACAGATAAGAGCTGTGTGTGATCCTCAAGACAACTATGTATGGGTGTCTTATTTGAATGTAGAATGCTCTTCCTGAAATTCTTGTCTTTTAACTAATCTTTCAGATATATAATACTAATCTGAGGCCCTAGATTATTGTACCTTGAATCAACCATTTCCACTTTAGATTGCCAGGAGGAAACACAGATAGATGGTTACTTAACTGTGTTTAATCGAGACTTAGTAGGCAGCTATATCTAGAGAGGCTTGGCTGATACCAGAAACTCTGCAGAATTAGCCATGGTTATTGTTTGAATGGGGTGGTGGTGGTAGGCTGCCTGGAAATTCCAAGATTGTTAAAACTGGGGAATGAAAAAAAAAGGCCTAGTAGTATAATATTGCCACAAAATTACATACATACAATCAAGATTAGTTTTACCTTAGTGGGACTGAACAGTACATAGTCCAATAGTACATAGTGTTGCCTGCCTCATCAGTAAGATAGCTACTTTGAAAATGCTTTGATTTTACTTCTACATAGTTAAGCATTATAGAAAGACCCCTCTTCCATGTGTTTCATGGGTCAATATACATTTTTCTCTTCTGTTTCCATAGCTCCCTTGCAGGCCCTCAGGAATGCTGGTTGTTAACAGCTAATCGGCTGCAAGTCGTCACTGCCCAGCTCAAGGTGTGTGTGAATGTGCAGTGCTTGGCCCTTCACAGCTTCAGTGATATCTACACTGGTGAGTTAAAAGCATGGAGGCTTTTATAAAATTGGAAGCTTTGAGGGGCAGAATACATTTAGAGTGTCCATTTTCTTCCTTTATTTACTTAGTGAAGCTGGGTTGTGCCTTTTAATTTATTAACTTGGAGTTTCAGATAACATTATTTTATGGTCTGTGTAGCTTTTTCAAATCCATAATAACAGCTGTTCTGTTTTTCAATTATAGGTTTGTTTAATATTGGTAATAAGCTTTTAGTGAGCCTAGACCTTCTGTTTACAATAAGAAACCATATAAAACTTGGTGAGGATCCTAAAGTGACAATTAGCAAGATTTTGGAAACTGTGCAGGAATACACAGGTATTCATATTACATCTTTTTTTTCTGCCTTTGCTACAGCTTTCACACATTACTTTGTAATACATTAATTTTGCTCTAAGTGAAGTTTAATATAGATAACGTTTCCAACCAAATCTGTCCAAAATGCTGGTTGTTTGATGATTTTGAGAAAAGAATCGTAAATTATCCAGAGGTTGTGATATAACTGCCTTTTAATATTTCAACCTTAAAGAACAAGGAAGAAGCCTTAACATTTAAAACTGTTTTAACGCCTGATATGAATCTTTGGTTGAATAGGGAAATGGAGAGATTGCAAAAAATATTCTTTAACCAAGTGAGAAAGTCAGTATTTAAGACACATGGTTGGTGATGATGTAATTTAAGACTGAATACCTTAATACTGTGACTGCTGGGTGCAAAGAGTGGCAGGCTATAATTTGTGTATGGCCACTAAAAACAGAATATATAATATTATGGAAGTCTAATTTCCTAGGATAATCTGTGAACCTTCAATAGAGAATTACTGAAATATAAATCTTCCTTCCTTGAAGCAGTTTTTCTTGCTTGTTCTAATAGCGGGGTATGAAAGTTACTGAATTGTACTGGCTTGCCTGTGGTTCAGGCATACCTTTCACATCATTATTAGTAGCCTGGGTTCCTGACCTGAGTGAGTGATCAGTACTATCCTTATCATCTTTAAAAACCACTACAAATTTGAATATTCTAATTTATCTGATGAGTAAGAAGCATTGAGTCTGAGCAAGTTATAATTAAACTAATGTCTGTGATTCCATTTGAAGCAAAAGTTCGAAACTCCCATTTTGGTGGTTTGTCATTATAGATAGGGATGACTTACATGAGCCTTCTTGACAGAAATTATTCTCATTTGTTCTCTCCCCTCCCCCTGCGCTTTCCTCAGAGAGAAACCTGAGTACTGAAGAGGGGAATCAACTTGAGGAACTGCTGTGCAATGGATACTGGGCCTTTGAGTGCCTCACTGTCCGAGACTACAATGATATGATCTGTGGTGTCTGTGGCATTGCACCAAAAGTTGAAATAGCTCAGAGGAACGTGGAAAGTGTTTTGTCACTGAAAAACATTGAGGTAGACCAGGAATGCATTATTTTAAAAGCTGCACTTGTTTGTTAATGTTGACGTGCATATTTTGTTCAAACATCTTCATCCTTCTACTATAGAATCTATAAAGGTGGGCCTTTTTATTTCAGCAAAATTGATGAGTTGGTTTTAACACTGTTAACACTCCCTTTTAAATAAAAAGCAATGCAACAATGAAAGAAACAAGAACAAAAGGTGCTAACGGTTTCTTGGGAAAGATTAAAATGATATGTGCAGTAAAAAAATAAATATTGATGCTTTTCTTTCCTCCTTTTTTCAATGCTAGTTTACCTGGCCAGAATTCTTGGCATCTAGTGAAGTAAATGTGGAAGATTTTTGGTCAACCATGGAGACAGAAGTCATAGAACAAGTGGCCTTTCCCTCCAGTATACCCATCACAAAGTTTGATGCCTCCATCATAGCTCCCTTCTTTCCACCACTAATGAGGAGCACCATAGTAGTCAACACAGAAAGGGAGAAGAATCTTGAATCGCATGTAATCCCAGGTGGCAATCAACGTTCTTGTCTTGTTTACCTTTTTAAGCAGTAGTTTTGATAGTATCCAAAGTGGCACTAAGATTAAAAACTCAGTATGCTTTGCTGTAAAGGAGTGTGCCTTAATGAGACTGTGCCATCTTAGATTGCACACTACCCCCAGATGTGCATGTACTGGGCTGCATAGGGATAAATATGTAATAGTTAATCTTTTTCCTGTGGAATATAGGTGTAGGGACAGCTTTTAAAGCAAGGCTTTCATGCTCATAATAGTGCTTCCATTAACGCTTCCAGCGTTTACACTAGACATGGTTTTATTTCTGTGAATTTTGATTGATGTACATGACATAGATATGGCTTTCAGACATGGGATTAAAGCTGTGTCCTCCCTTATGGAAATGATGCTAATCTGGGTGCGTGCAATTACTGAGAATTGTATCTTGCATTTTCAGGTAATGCAAGTGTTCTAGTGAGACTGATTCAGGATGAAATTTGTAAAGTGGAACAGATTGGTTCCTACGGTGAGGAAGAACTGCAGAATTTCTTGACACAGTGCAGCATTCCTTGGGAGGAGGGCGACTCCAAGGTAATCACAGTGTTCTTCAAGCATTCAGCCATGCTTCGCTTTTGAAGGAAGCACTATTTCTGTGCAATGCCTGCGTAATGTAATGTCCCTCTTTCTATAATAACAGCAACGGTACTTAGACTTATATACCGCTTCACAGTGCTTTACAGCCCTCTCTGAGCAGTTTACAATGTCAGCATATCCCCCCCCCCCCAAAAAAAAAACCAATCTGGGTCCCCATTTTACTGACTTCTGAAGGATGGAAGGCTGAGTCAACCTTGAGCCCATCAGGATCAAATTCCAGGTTGTGGGCAGAGTTAACCTGAAATACTGCATTCTAACCACTGTGCAATCATGGGTCCTTTCTATGTGTATTAAATCTATAAAATTAAATGATTTTAATTTCACAAATGATCAATAATGATGAAGTGCATTTCACCATAAAGCTGCCCATTTTTTGTGGCATTCTGAAGCAAAATAAGCCCTGTGGACCACTGCTTAATCACCTCTGCTAGATGACCAGCAGTTGTGCCACATTTTGTCTTCCTAACCTTTCTGTCTCTGCATGCTGATGGCTATTTGTAAGCTAGGACTGTTTGAAAAACTCAGCTGTCTATATTTTCTCTTTGTTTCTTAGGAACAGCTATGTCTTTCTCTACTGGCTCTTTATGATTTTGTACAGAATGGGACACAAATAAGTCAGCCTCCAGAATTCCTAACAGGAGGGAAAATCTACAAAGTGTGTCCACATCAGGTGAGGCTGTCAAAAAACCAAAGAGATACTAATATGTAAAGGTGTTCATAATGAAGCTGGCCACAGAGAATATTCCAAGAGTGGAAACAAACCGATGTAGTTTAGAAGTTTTGTTGAAAGCCTGAAGCCAAAGACCATTGTTGTGTTGGGAACATGGAAGAATGTTTGAAGAGGCTTAGTTTTGAGTGTTCCAGCTGTTCTTTAGTTCTGAGACGGGCTGTAGTTTTGTGACTCATAATGTGGCTGTTTTTTTCCTCCAGTCAGTGTAACAGCAGGAACCAGTCATGTCACTGTTGTTGTTGGTTTAAACTAGATTAGTTGGAGTGGCTTCTTAGATAAAATATGGGACAGAAAAATGGAACTGTGCACACAGCCAGGCAGAATGCTGATCACAGCTGCATAACTGCTATTCTGCCCTACAGTCATTGTGATATTTTTTTAAATAAAACTTTGATATCCAGAAGTTAGAGTTAATGGGGATGGATGGGTGGGTTCACAAAATTTATTTTGTAGGTAGGTGATGCAAAGGGTTACTACAAGCTTGCTTCACACATATGTTGCTAATGTCCCTAAGACTAGATATATCAGGAAGAATGCCAATTGCTTCCTTAGGTTTGGGCCTAATAGGAAAGCTACAAGAAAAAGAAAAGGCTGTTGCCTACAAATAATTGGTCAATGTTTTTTTTAAGAAACAGTTTTTAAGAATAAGTGTTTAAATTAGTAAACACTTGTAGGAGAGAGATGATAATGGAAAGGCTTGTTGTTTGGTTTAACTGCTATTTGTTTTGTACCAGATTGCACGTCTGTTTTCTTATTGTTTCTTTTGAGGTTTTATTTGAAGGTTTTCAATTTTCTTAAAAAGGTTTCCTTGATTGAATTTTCTGTGATTTGGTTGGTAATTTTCATTAAGTATTGGCGACTACCCTTTTTTTGACCCTGAAATATAAAACAAAGTAATAGCAACAGGTGCACCCAAGGTCTCAGTGTTTTCTGTGCTTAAAGAGAAAAAAAGAGAGCGAGATAGAAACAAAAATCCTGGAAGCCACATGAGTTCTAGTGAAATGAAACAAAATCAATTTCACATGTTTTAATGAATATGTTGAATGGGGTTGTTTTAATGTGAGTTTGAAACAAATCACATTTTCTACTTAGTGCCCTTTTCTTACTAATATGTCATTCCAAAATAGGTATGGATGATTTCTATAGTAGAAAATGTACTTTTAAGGATAATGAAACAGGCATGGACACATACTTTTGTGTTGTTCCAGGAGTGAACAGTGTTACAAGTAAGCAAAATAACTAAGTCTGGAGAGAAGGGAAAAGAAAAAAGAAAATTAACGAAATCTAGTTTAAAATTGACATTCATTGTATTGTCATTCTACCATTCTATCCTTGCTCCCATCACATCCTTCTTTCTGAATATATAAAAGCATAACAGTATAAAATATGAATGTATTTTAACAAATCATATATTTTCTGTTTTAGCCAAGTAATAATGGATCACATAAGATGCTTTTTTTCTTCTCTTCTATCCCTATTTGATATTAATAGTATTTTGATATAATATGATGCTTGCCTAGAAAAAGATTATTTGTAAGTTGTATTAGTATAGCTTTTACAGATTGTAAAGGAATAAGCTTCTATGAGATGAAAATTACATTGAGTGTTCTAAAGTTTGAATTACAAGTGGAAAGAGCCGAGGTAGCACAGTGGTTAGGGTGCAGTACTGCAGGCCACTTTAGCTGACTGTGATCTGCAGTTCAGCGGTTCAAATCTCACCGGCTCAAGGTCGACTCAGCCTTCCATCCTTCAGAGGTGGGTGAAATGAGGACCCGGACTGTGGGGGCAAGTTGCTGACTCAATTTGCTAAAAAAAAAAATGTAAACCGCTTAGAGAGGGCTGAAAGCCCTATAAAGCGGTATATAAGTCTAATAAATAAATAAATAAATAAATTGTCAGGATTACCTTCGGAAACTGAGTGAGGGTTTGTCCCCAAGTTCTTTTGTTGTTCTATGATCTTCCTTCATCTGTTTTTTTCTTTACAGGTTGTATGTGGTTCAAAATATATTGTCAGAGGGGAAAGTCCCCGGGACCATGTGGATCTACTAACTTCCTCACGTCACTGGCCACCAGTCTATGTAGTAGATATGGCCACTTCCGTAGCATTGTGTGCAGATATCTGTTATCCTGACTTGACTGCTCAGATGTGGGGAAGAAACCAGGGCTGCTTCTCTGACCCTATGGAGCCTTTAAAGGTTAGTTGCCCTGTTTTTCTTTGAAGATTAAACTCCTTGACATATCTGGAATAGTTATCATGGATAGTTTTTTCTTTGTTTCTTTGGCAAAGTCATAATTTAAATCTTTTGATTACTTTGATAATAATTCTCCAAATGATGTTCTCTAAAAGTGATGCTATTAGATGATCTACGTAGCTCTTTCGACAGTACTTATTCCCATTTATTTAGAACACAGTGTTGGAATAAGTAAAGATTTTATATATTGTCTCCCTCTTAAATTCATTTTTTTAAAATCAGCCAAAGAGTGAAAAACATGTCACCTTTCCTAACACCAAGAATGGATCTGTATTGATCCTCACAATTTAATATAAGAATGAAAAAGACAGGCTGATATGTTTTCCTTAATCACTAATCATGAAGGAATATTTTTAGGGATGATCACTACAGTGCCTTCTTCTTCCATCTGAAAATTTGGGTCATTGCCCATTTCTTTTTCAATGTACTTTTCAAAAAAGCTATATACATATAATTCCAAGTTTTAAAAATTACATCATTTAATTCATATATTCAAGATGTGTATTTATGTCATTTGTTCTTGGTTGACATATCTTCCTTAGAAATGGTCAGTTACTCTTCCAATTTTATAGACGTACACATGGTATGAGAATGTACAGGTTATTTAAAGAGTCTTCAGCCAAACAAGATTTGAACTTGAGTTCAAATCCGTTGTGCTCTCTATTGGATTATTTTGAATTATGTTCATATTTTTCTTATTGCTAAGCCAACGTTGAAGTCTATAAATACAATTTCCTAATGCATACATTGCTTTTGTCTTGCTTTGTCCCCTCCATCAGTATGTGTCCTGCCCAGAACTCCTTGACAGGCACTACAATGTGGATACAACCACTGATGAACATTCTGTAGAGCATCCAATCACTAAATCAACATCTCGCTTTGTAGTTCACACTGGGACAGAGCAGAAGACTCAAAGTGATCCACTGGCTCGACACCGTTCCCTCTCTCTGTGCCGGGAATTGGAGCCCTACGGTGCTATCATTACAGCCATCAATGACAGCAAAACCAGTAATGTCCGCCAAAACCCTATAGCATTTGACAGTGCAACCCACTATTATCTCTACAATCGTTTGATAGATTTCCTCTCCAGTCGTGAGGTTGTGAACAGGCAGATCCACGAAATTGTTCAAAGCTGCCAACCTGGTGAGGTTGTAATCCGGGACAATCTATATCGTCTCGGTGTTGCCCAGATCAAGACAGAAATGGATGAAGATGAAATACAAGAAGAAGAAGAAGAAGGTGTTGTCTAATGTATTGTGAGATTATCATCCCTGAATCATACATAATAGCTAAGCAGTTTGTTACAGAAAGTTCCAATCCAGCACAGAGCTAAGAGTCATGGCCTATTGATTGGGCTTCTGGTCTGTAGACAGATTGGTATTGAAGAACAAATTTCTCTTTTCAAGAGGCTGGGTAAAGCTAGAAGCAACCCAGGATAATCGTTCAAAGACAGAAGAATTTTCTATTGCTGACAAGAGAAAGAAAACAAATATACAGAACATTACTTTTTTAAAAGTGCGCATGTTGCTGGAAATGCATAAAAGTGGGGGGAAACCCAGCATAAAACATGCATGACTGCTCCAATATTCTGAACTATCTTCTTCATAGATTGAAGAATATTTGGAACCTAGATCTTTATGTTTCTATTCTGAAAAGACTTGAAGTTTGACTTGGGCATTGGTGGCGTGAGAGTTTATCTGCTTCTTCAGCTTGTTCTGTGTCAATATGACAAAACCACGCATTATTTAATGGTTGAAAGCTAAACTGGCTTGCATATTAAGTTATAAGCTGCTAGAAGCATCATTGCCCTGGCTAGCATGGTTATTTCAAAGGTTCTTCAGGGGTTTATATGTTTTGGATAAAGGATATGGTCTAATGGCCAGACGGGGATATTCAGGCACTTTACTTTATAATCCAGTTAATGGACTTAATTGTTTATTCCTCTGACCACAGATGCTACTAAAGATATTTGTGGAATAATGGTTGGTTTCCATGAATACAATCTGATGTTTTTTCTAATTATTTTTATGGCTAAAATTGTTAGACATGCAACATAACACTTACCTTTAAGGGCCACTTGGAAACCACTACATACTCCACTATTCCAGTGTTATAAATCTGACTTGTATGAGTTCATACTGTCATGGTCAATTATATTGTTTTTCCTGTGTAATGTGCTGAGCCATGATGTGTAAGCTCTACACAGTTCACTGATTTGTGTTTATTCTTAGCCATCTATAAATTTACAAAGGAAAACAAAATAGATTTCTGCTACCATTGAAATGTGGGGAAACATTTCCTGACTGAGGTGAAGTTTTCCACTATGTTTCTTCAGATTTGTGGTGTGGATTTAAAAATCTCTTCTATGAAGAGTTCTAGTGTGTACTGTGCTGTAAAAACAACAACAACAAAAAGAAACTTATTGAAGTTCTGAGCAAAACATACGACTTGCTGTTTATAATGCTAATTTATGAAATACAGTTTTTAAGACAGTGGTAAACTTTAATAAATTATCTCTTCCTGTGTTGGAGAGTAAAACTATTTGGACAAATGAGTTTTCCTTATTTTGTAGTTTCAGAAGTTTGAAAGGTGCGGGGAAAGATGCCTCATTCTGTTGCTAAAGAATAGAGTTACCAATCCATATGGTGGAGTGTTTATCAATTGTTTGCATGGAAAATATTAATTTTAGATGTGTTGAAACAGTATTAATATTTTATTGTCTTTGAAAACAACCCTACAGAATCCATTGGTGCTGAATTTAAATTGCTTTCGTTATAGCACTTAAAGTTTGGGTAATTCGAGCCAGCATAAATGCATGTTTTGTTTTCTTAACTTTATAATCTGAGCTCATTTAGACGTTATGAAGGATAAAAACTGAATATGAATGATTTGTATCTATTTTTAATATTCAATTAGATTTTGCAAATCTCATTTATTATGACAGGTTAATACACTCCACAAATGATTTGCAGATCTAGTTTAGCAGGTCATGCATACTGCTTATGCTTCTATTTTTTTCTCTCATTCAAAAAATTAAATGTGCTTTTATTCTACAGTTTTGTTTTATTGTGTCTGTCTGGAATAGTATTATTAATTTCAGTGGTTTCTAAACTAAAGAAACCATATTCTGAGTTTCATCTATTAATCATTCCACTCTTGTAGTACTGAACTATTTCCCTTCCCACTGCTCAAACAGCAGAGGGGGCTATCAGTGCTTCAACATTCAGGATAGAATAATGCTTTCTATATTCTTGGTTATTTATTGAAAGGATCTGTATGACTGCTCATGTTATATAAAGTAACTCTGGGTAGCTAACAGGTAAACAAGTAACAATATAATACAAAACTTTATCATATCACCAAACATAAAAGTTCCATCCCAAAACCAAAAAATGACAGGCTTTCTCTCCCCCCCCTCCTTCCCCAGGTCCTAGAAGCCATATTAAACATAGTTATATAAGAGTGTATAAACTCAGACAATTAAGTTGCTGGACTTTGCTTCTTAACACAATTAATTAACTTAACTAGTGCTGCAATTAATATAATCTGGTATTTACTATTGGGAATTTGTACAAATCAGCTTTGTAGCTTACTGCTTTTTCTCAGTAATGCAAAGGGCAGATAAATACTAGAAACTAAAAGATCAGTTTAATCACACAATAAGGAATGATAAGTGTAATAAAATGTTTACACGGGAAATTTTAAAAAAAGAGATTGCAAGTTACTTGATCAAATTGATTTATTTTTCATGATAGTTGAATTACAAATAAATTCACATTTATGCAATTGTTAACACAAAGATGCTTGAAACAGCAGTTAATTTTTTAATAACAATCTGGCAATAACTGAGCACTAGTAATCTTCGTTACCTGGAGTTTTGTGCAGTAAATAAAGCATGTTACCCGTCCTTAAGTCTATCAATGGATTTTGTAATTTACATAAAGACAATTGTGGCTAAGCGCCATGAATATTCCCTTTCATTTGTGTGAGCTTCAGGGATGACTGCTTAGCAAAGTGAATAATCTTTTACATAAAGCCTGTGTAAAAATTATTAAACAGAGCAATTATTAAACTGGTTAAATTGTTACAATTATTTAGAGCTGTTCAGGTCTACTACAAGTTTTAAAGTCATCACTGTGGGAAACAAACAGTAGGAGAACCTCTTTTTAAATAGAAAAAGAATGCATGGACTTTGTAAACAATTTTATGGGCTCCATGAACTTGGTAAACAATTGTTCTGCTTTAATAATTCTAAAGAGTAGTGCTTTTCACAGCCTTATCAAATAGAAGTGGAGCTCAAAGATAGTAAAACATCTGTTCCAGCAACTTGTGTGTAAGAGCTGCAATACGTATGGATACCACAGTGTTTCAGGTATACTGTGTGGAATGCATGCTATGAAACAAACACTTGTTAAATGTCTCACACCAATTGCCCATTTGTCCTCTTAATAGGATATTTTAAAAATCCTTTATTTATAAAAATAGCTTGGAAAAAATACCTAACGCCAGTAGTCTTATGTTGTCAGTAGTAGTTTGCTTTCCCCTCTTGAGTTTTTAGAACACTATGTAGCTATGCTTTTTCTCAATAATGCAAAGGACAGGTAAATACTAAAAATTAAAATATCAGTTTAATCACAACATAAGGAATGATAGAGTGAAAAAAATCCTACATAATAATAAAGACTATATCTAATACGGTAAAAAGCCTGACTGAAATAATATTAGAATTTTGCCATCTGTTTGTCTTCTGTTCCTGCTGAGCTCTAGTATGTTAAATGATACTCGGAAATGGAATGGCAGTTTGGTAGCTCATTGAAGTGGCAAGATGACCACTTTCAGCTCATAACTTAGCAGCTGTGTGGTGTAACTGAGATTCCAACTAAGACTTCAAACGCTGCCTACTGACTAATATGTTACAATAACCTAATATGAAGATAGAATGTAGCTGCATCTTAATTCAAAAGTGTACAGTTTTATCGTTTCACTGAGCTGCAATTTCAGATACTACTACTCTTTTACACTCTCGCATTACTCTAATTTAGTATTATGTGAAGGATTAGATTCTCCTTACACCTGTTGGGAAGACTGAGTGGCATCATCTTTCCATCAAATAAGCTGTCCATCAAGAGATGGACACTATTTTCCAGACTAAGCTAGTAGTCAAATTAAGCTAGTATTGTAATATATACGTTAAACTCTAGAATGATTGATAACATGGAAAGTAGAGGAAAAGTAGAGCTTCCATTTTACCAATTATTCTAAAGTTGAACACGCAATTTCGTATTTTGACCCTTCCAGGATGTGACCCGAAATAATTTGCACTTATTCTTTATTCCCATCTAATAGATAAAAACATTGAAAATCAGTAAATTTAAAGGCAACAATCCTAATACATTTGGATAAAAGTTTCATTTCATTTTGAACTGATTTGAATAAAGTATAAAGTATAAATGTTATAAAGTACTCATTAATAACAAGTGAGCATATATCTAAATCTAATCTTAGCTAACAGACTGGTTTTTACAGAAAATCATAATACAGGTAGTCCTTGACTTATGACAGTTCATTTAGTGACCGTTCAAAGTTACAACGGCACTGACAAAAGTGACATGATCGTTTTTCACACTTATAACCACTGCGGCCTCTCCATGGTCACACGATTTACATTTGGATCCTTGACAACTGGTTCACAGTTATGACGGTTGCAATGTCCTGGAGCCATGTGACCCCTTTTGCGACCTTCTGACAAGCAAAGCAAAGTCAATGGAGGAAGCCAGGTTCACTTAACAACTGTGTTACTAATTTAACGACTGCAGTGATTCACTTAACAAATGTGGCAAGAAAAGTCACAAAATGGGGCAAAATTCACTTAACAAATTTCTCACTTGGCAACATAAATTCTGGGCTCAATTGTAGAGGACTACCTGTAATTAATTTATTGGGAGCTTTATGCCAGTTCAATACAGAGGGTCAGTGAGTAGCTTATATTCTTTTTTTTCAGTAATAACATTCAAATAGCAAAACAATGCCATGTAATTTGCATGTTCTGAAATGGTAATGCCATATGAGAGAAAAATAGAGTTGCTACCTTGAAGCTTTAAAAAAAAAAGTTTACGAGAATTAGATTTATTTTCTTTCTTATAGGCTCAGCAATTTTCTTTTCTATGTTGGGTGGGCAACTTTTGGCTCATCCTTTCAACCCATGCCAAAACTCAGTGGCAAAATGGTACAATTTGGGTATTTTTTCCAGCTTTGGAGGTTGTTTCAAGGATGAGATGAATGCAATGTGTCTCGAGAAATCTTCCCACGATCCTCCTTATCTTTAACAATCCCTCATGTTGCCAAAGACCACCTCTTCCAACAATGTCCCCTTTTGGTTTGGTTATTTGCCGTGGATTTCAGTCTGCCCACCTATGCTGCAAGAAATGACTGTAGAACAGCAGGTTACCATGGGAATGCCTCTACTTCTTTCTGTTCCCTGATCTTGCTCCGCAAAGCCCCCCATCTGGTTCAAAATGTGGGTAATCTAATTTTTTTCCTCTCCCATATGATAGTTTATAGGTTTGATAGCTTGTAGCAGAAAAGTGTAGAGAAAATAAAAGAAGTCCATCTACTTTGTTAAGCCTTGTTTCTGCGTTTGCACTTAACAATCTCTCCCATTCTGCAAAGATGATGCCCCGATTCTCCAACGTCAAATATAGCCTACTTTAAGACATCAACAGTGATAAAGCCCTGCCTGCCTGTAGTTAAAATCAAGAAGAATGAAGAATTTAGGAATCTGCTGTCAGTGAAAGGCATGATCCCAGTCTGTGACTTACGTATGACTGTCTTGTTTTCTGATGCAAAAAGCCTCAAAAAGGGATGGGGTTGCATGAAATCCAAGTTCAATCTCAGCTGGCATTTCATCATCCAGAAGGCCCAGAACACACACCCTAACAAAACTGATAATTGTTGCTGTTAAGAAGAGGCTGCTCCGCTTCTCCTGCCTCACAGGATTCTTCAAAGTCGCTGGCAGGCTCACATCCACTGTCTTCCTCCTCTCTGGGGCAGGGCAAGTTTTTATAATCCTTCATATGATATGAAAGAAAGAGAAAAAGAAATGCAAACATACTTCGGAATCTGAAATGTGTTATTTTGCAAAAGGTAAATTTAATTAAAATTAATTCAAATAAATTTACTCTGGCCTTGAGGTCAATGTTACATTATTTATATATTTATCTACACAGAGTACCCAAGCTGTTTTTTATATCATTTTACCTTTCTTATTTTTATTTTACCATGCATATAAACGACACTGTTTGGGTGTATATGGAGAGAACAGGGTTTAAAGCATAAGGTGTTTTGGAGGGCTTTTTAATGAAAACTTTTATGACAAAATGAAAAAAAAATGTGGAAACAATCTTGGCTGAATCAGCTTCTTGTTTTTGAATTTTGTAAAATAAACCATTCACCTGTTCCTTAATGGCATCCAGCTGTTTCTGAATTAAGGTGCAGATTTGACTGAAAGTTGGCCGTTGAGTGGGCTCCAATTTCCAGCATGCCGTCATTATATTGTACCTGTATCGGACATGGGAGGTGGGAAAGGAAGAAAAATCTAAGTTTGATACTTTCAGAAGCAAATTGCATGATAATACGTGACAGCTAATTGGACAGTCACTGGCCTATAATTTTTGCATCTTTGATCTCCTTGGCTACTATTGTGCCATCCCATTCCTTCTTTGCCATCGTTCAGGCTCCATGACCCATATGAGTTTTCTTTGAAAAATATTATGAATGAATGGGAAAGCAATTAGATTACTGATGGGTATCATAAAGCTTCTATTCCAAACTTCCCACATGTGCCCATTAAGTTCAATGAGCTGAACGTCTGAGTAGATCAGGGGTGGGTTCCTGCCAGTTCTAACCTCTTCTATGAAGAGATTTGTGGAAGAGGTTCCACAAATCTACAATGCCATTTAGAACAGGTTCCAGCTCCCTCCCCCCGCCCATCCGCATATCATCAAGATGAAGAGCAAGAGGAGGAATTCTGGGAGTTGAAGTCCACAAGTCTTAAAGCTGTCAAGTTTGAACACCCCTGGGTTTTTTTTCTAAAGGGTTAGGGGTGCAAGGGTCTTGTAACTTGACAGCTTTAAGACTTGCGTGCTTCAAATGCCAGAGTTTTTGAGCCAATATTTTGGTTGCTAAGCAAGAGCGTTGTTAAGTGAGTTTCACCACATTTTACAAGTTGGCCATGCCCACCCGGTCACGTGGCTGGCAAGCCACTCCCACCTGATTGCATCGCCAGCAATCCACTCCCACAAAGCAGGCCATTTTTAGAGGTTCTAAACATTTTTGAAACCCACCACTGGAGTAGATGTACCATTGTGCTGCCAAAGACAGCTAACCAAGGTGGCTGGGAGTCTTTCCTCAGCATAAGCATCAACCTTTCAGAACTGAGGGAAAGGAGGGAATCCCATATAATCAGCCCTGAATAGATGATTTTCAGATTCACCTGTTTATGGTTTATGGTTTGGTTTGGTTTAAAACCATAAACCAAACCAAACCATAAACAGGTTATAGAAAAAATGAATGGAATTCAATTGTACACAAATGATATCCATGATACCAGAAGAATCTGTAAACAGGTGGGCAGATTGACAGAGGAAAAATCCTGAGCATTCTGAGAAATATCTGGAAAGCTATCAAGATTCCCTCAGCTTTTTTTGAATAAATGAATGAGTGGGTGAGTGAATGGTTTGGGTACCTGGAGCTGCAGTACTTTTACTTACATATCATCTGGAGCAAAATCTGGCTTCCCCATATGATATCCTTCTTTCACAAGGCTATAAAACTTATTATTCACTTTCACGCCAGGATAGGGACTTCTTCCTATGAACACAAGAAAATGGATAATGCTTATATGGATGAAGGACCCTGCAGTTTTAGAAGGGTCCCTATAGAACTAGCTAAAATGTCTTAGGAATAGTTTCCCCTTGGTCATTCTTGGGAGGCAGTTTGAGAGGAAAATCAGAGGAAACAGAGGTATGAGGAGAATGGACAAACATTTTTCTGGCATGGGGCTACACTTCATCCCATCCTGCTTGCGCTTTGCAATAGTCATAGTTAATAGCAATAGCAATAGCAATAGCAGTAGACTTATATACCGCTTCATAGGCCTTTCAGGCCTCTCTAAGCGGTTTACAGAGAGTCAGCATATTGCCCCCAACAATCTGGGTCCTCATTTTACCCACCTCGGAAGGATGGAAGGCTGAGTCAACCCTGAGCCAGTGAGATTTGAACCGCTGACCTGCTGATCTAGCAGTAGCCTGCAGTGCTGCATTTAACCACTGCGCCACCTTGGCTCTTTAATGTTAATGTTAATGTTTGGAGATGAACGTTTCTGATTGCCCTAAGAGTAAAAATATTTAATTTTTGGAGCAGAATTTAAGGGATGAAATCTTGCCCATCAAAACCCACTGACAATGTGATATATCATCCTGATTTACGGTGTTAATTTGTTTAAATGAATGCTATAAAGCCTTTCATTCCTTAACACTTTTTTCAACTCCTCACAAATGAAGTGTCTTCTGCTATTTGTCTGCAACAATCCAAGACTACATTGAAATGATAGCACACATATAGTCTAAAACTGTTCTGATATACAGGCATCTCTATATACAATGCAAACATGTAAGTCTTGTCAAAAAAAAGCCAATTCAATTCTAGGCTGCATTGACAGAGGGACAGAATTAAGATCACTTGAAGTACCACTTTACAAAGTCTTAGCATGGCCACATTAGGAATATTGCATCCACTTTTGATCATCACAATATATTGTGTCTATATATTGGGAGTCTATTTTGAGACTCTGGAAAGAGTGCAGAGAAAAGCAACAAAGATGATTAACAAGCTGAAGGCTAAGAAATATGAAGAACAGTTGTAGAAATTGAATATTTCTATTTAATGAAAAGAAGGACTAGGGGTAGCGGTATAGCAGTGTCCCAATTTTGAAAAACTTCCACAAAGAATAAAGGGCCAACCTATTCTCAAAAAGCACCTGAAGGTAGGACAAGAAGCAATGGATGGAAACTAATCAAGGAGAGAACCAGCCTAGAACTAAGGAGAAATTTCTTGACAGTAAGAACAATTAACCATTGGAATGGCTTGCCTCCAGAAGCTGTGAATGCCCAAACAATGGAAGTCTTTAAGAAGAAATTGGACAGCCATTTGTTCAGAATGGCACAGGGTCTCCTGCTTGTGCAGGTGGTTGGACTAGAAAACCTCCAAGGTCTCTTCCAACTCTACTATTCTGTTATTTATATTTTTGCATCATGATGTGAATGCAACAGTTATGAATCCCAAAGCTGCATTTTTGACACAGTCTTTCCGCATAGAAAAGGCAGGCTTAAACAGGCAAGCATAAACAAAGAAACAAATATAGAAATGTTCTTTTCTTACCTAGGGAGAATATCTCCCAGAGAAGGATGCCATAAGACCACACGTCACTCTGTACTGTGTAGACACATTCAAAGATGCTCTCTGGTGCCATCCATTTCACTGGGAGGCGAGCCTGGAATGATATGGTCTAAACTCAGGAGGAAGCCCTTAGCATTCTCACCTGGACTCTTTAGAAGTTAAACATTAGAGCATGTTCTTTGCACACAGATGATCCGTGCGTCCAGGTACACCTCAGAGGGATGCTTAGACAGTTGCTATCAATCAATAGAGACATTTCAGAGCCAGGTGAAACTACAGCTTGATTCAGCTTCATGGGATGCAAATGTATAGATTCATTCCAGTTACTTACATTGCCCTTCACAACATAATTGCTGTCATTCACAATATCTCTAGCCAGGCCGAAGTCACAGATCTTGGCCACTAATCCATCAGCCACTAGCACATTCCGTGCTGCCAAATCTCGATGGATGCACTGGATTCAAGAATGAGAGAAAAAAAAAGGAGGGAAAGAGGCAAATTGATTTTCTTCTCATTTTATTTATTTAGTTTTATCTTTAAAAATAAATAAATAACTCAACTAACACTCCTTCCTTCTCCTATTTTCCCCACATCAACCACCCAGAGAGGTGAGTTGGGCAAAGAGAGAGAATGATTGGCCCAGGATAACTCAGGCAGCTTTCAAGCCTAAGGCAGAACAGGGAACTTACAAGCTCTTTGTTTCAATTTATTGATCCTATAATTTGATTAGCAGCAAGGCAGATTTAGTCCAGTTTTGACCAGTGCAAGGGCAGTCAAAAGTCTTCAACATGGTATTTACAAATGTTTTTATATGGTCTAGACTCTAGGCCAATGGAATTAATACAATCTAGAGTAAAGGGGAACGGAGGAACCTGATTATGGTCTTGAATGCCTCCTCCAAGCTATAGTAATCCATTACCTATAGTAATGAAAAAAGTGCCATTTAGAACACCTTATGCAAAATAAATCTACTTACTGATGCCAATATATCTACAAAAGATTGAATCATACGTGGAAATGTTTGGCTAATTAAACTATTTGAATTAACTATTGAAGAGTTATTATTCTGAACTCTTCCATTGTCTTTTTTGCTTGATATGGAGGTGGACATTAAAAAAAACCAAATAACACAAATACACTTGGTTGTTCTTTCCTTTCTTATAAAGGTTACTTTGCAAGTTTTCCTATCTCAGTGCATCCATTATTTAAAAGTTGACAGAGCTATTAGGGTACCACATAGGCAGTGTCCCCAGCCATACAACATCAGTACAAACTCTGTATAGGAAGAGCGGGGAAAGACCTATTATTTTATGGAATCTGTGTCTTAACCACTAGATTTCCTGTTGAATGTAATGAACAACTTCTGCTATAACAAAGAACCAGAGAGAGTGCATTATAAGACAGGTTCAAAAATCATCAACTATCACTTTCAGTTGCTATCATTGGAAAGGATGGAGGTTGCTACAGCTAATGTTTATGTCAGATTACTCCTTGTTTCCCACAACGGCTAAGCAAACGCATATTCAAATGGATGCTCAAAGTTTATATGTTAAATGCATAATCATATAAATGTTTTCAACTGATCAATCGATCACTCAATCAATCAATATGCTTCTTCTTTTTATGCTGGTTAGAAAAGAGGGAACACAGTATTCATATTATCTTTAACAGGACTATATATTCACTCTCACACAGACGCTATTGTTCTCAAAAGCCACACAGAGTTGTGTGTGATTAAATATACAATCCAAAAGAATACTTCCAAGTAGTACACTCTTTAAGAACACATTCTTAAATTATACGTGGATCACCTCAGGAATCACAGCACTAGGAACTGGTAGGGTTGTAGAGGTAGTCCTCAACTTACGATCACAATTGAGCTGAGAATTTACATTGCTTGGTCAGTTTTTCCTCATTTTATTAGTTTTCTTGCCACATTGGTTAGGTGAATCACTGCAGTTGTTAAATTAGTAACATGGTTATCGTTGTGGCCCAGGAGGCGCTGTTGGAGCTGCCCCCAGACTGACAGCGAGGGGCCCTATGAGTCGGCCCTGGAGGATGTGGAGGACCCTGGACAGGGTTCCGACTCCAAGCAGGGTGCAGAGAAACTGGTTGGCCACCAGGTGGCACCTGAGCCTTGGACCAGTGTGGAGAAGACAAGGGAGAGTGATCCAGAAACCAGCAGTGAGTTGTTCCTGGATGCATGCCATCGAAGAGCAACTCGGCGTCAGGAACAATTACGCAATTACAGGAGGTAATTGCGCTCAGCTGGTGGTCATTAGACTCCTCTCCAGACTATAAAAAAGACTGTTTGTGACACGCCCCTCTTGAAGAAGTCAACGCATTGACTAAAGAGAACGTAACTAACTCGGCAGGCTGGATTGCTGCCAAGGTTTGTCTGAATTGCTGCCAAGGTTTGTCTGACTTGCTGCCAAAGTCCTTATCTGTTTGTTTGCTTGGCTTTCAGCCACCGAGATTTTGGCTTCTTACTATTAAAAGTACATTCAAGTTAAGCTTGTCTCGGCTTTCCTTACTGGATGGAGGAGGGGGTCAGAACAGGTTATTAAGTGAATCTGGCTACCCCATTACCTTCGTTTGTCAGAAGATTGCAAAATATGATCCCCTGACCCTGGGACACTGCAACTATCATAAATATGAAACAATTGCCAAGCATCTGAATGTAAGTCACATGACTATGGGGATGCTGCAAAAGTTATAAGTGTGAAAAATGGTCACGTCCCTTTTTTCAGTGCCGCTGTAACTTTGAACAGTCACTAAACAAACTGCTGTAAGTTGAGGACTACCTGTATATTATTCTGTGCAATAACAAAAAAATTCCTGGTAGGCAGATAATACAGGAAATCAAGCTTGGGCCTGAACTCCTTTTAGGATGGTGATGATAATATACGTTGTCAGGGGAATGTCCTCACATTTTTTGAAGCTAGGAAAGTCATTCCCTGGGCCACTTGGTTGGAAAACTGCAGCAAATCCAAGAGATCAAAAGAACAGAGGCCTCCTTTTCCTTCAGTTGATACCAACTTTGTTCCTGGATTGGGAGAAAGTTCACAGAGGTCATTGAAGATATACCTTTTTTTCTAATATCCAAAGGTTTTTTATATATATATAAATTTACACAAAGTGTTTACTTTTATATCCTCTCATTTACATAATCCATTTTACATTATACCTTGGTTTTCACTTTCAGCCAAATTGTTTTCTTCCATTATTTTCCCTTTTTTTATACTTATTTTTTCTTAATACATAAGCAATATCTTCAGTTGCCCCTTCAAAAATTACACCAAATTATCATTTCATATTTTTCTATTGGTCTATTTTACTATAAACAATATATATCTTCCAATTAAGTTTTAACATAGAGAGCACTTCTTTCAATTTTTTCTACAATTAACAATATACTACAATTTATTTATTTTTTAATTAGTTACATAGCGATACCAATCATACTACTATTCACTTTAATCTACTAATACAACTCCTTTTCCCTTTGTTCCTCTTTTATCCATTTTCTCTTGGGCTCTCACGAATTCCACTTTTAATCAATTTTCTTCTTCTCCCCTTTCTCCTAACTTCTTCTTTTTCCTGTTTTTATGGTTAGAGTATCTTTCCTACTGAAGGTATGCCTTTGAAGGATAGGTAAGGATAGCCACAAAGAGGACCAGGAAGGCCAGTTAGCAGTAAGCCATTAAGATAAGAAGGGTCAAAAAGTATAATCCTCAAGTGAAGTGAACTCTCTGAATTTGAAATCACCCATGATAACAAAGGCCTCCCTATCTAGAGACTAAATATAAGTAACTCCCAAGAAACTAATGGAATTAATTTTTCCAAGAATGAACTGGAAATTGCTGAGCAGAAGGCAATTTAATGGTTCTGTTCTCTTTGCTCATCTATAATTGCTCTATTTATGTATTGGTTTTGCTTATCTATGGACTTTACATATAAAGAACTGCTTTATGAGGGGGTATTTGGTGCTCCCTGAGCTTGCTAGCCCTGATGATGCTACCTAGTTTGGGTAATGAAATAGCTTTAAGAAAGCTCAGTGAGAGCATCAAAGACCCCTCATTTCAACTCTGCCCTACAAATGTTCTCCTTCATTGGAACTGATTTATATTTGGAAAGAATTCGTGACCAGAAAATATATACACCCAAGCAGATTTAATTGTGAAATTCACCTTAAAGGATGATGATTAAAGAATATAAATAACAAAGGTGCAAGGGGTAAAGATGCAATTCATGGACAATTATTTGCATGCCACATGACTTCCAGCTGAAAAGGGTAAGGTTATATAACCTGCTTCAAAAATAATTTGAAAAAGGTGCTTTAAATGTTTTGTGGGCGGTTTTCATTAAAGCAGGTTGTTATTTTTAAAAATTGTTTTGTGCATAAGTTTGGGGGGGGAAAAGTTGCAGCCCTTTTAAGAAAACCTCTCATTAAAGTTAATGCAGCATGAAACAAGTTGATCCTGTAAGAAACTTGAGGAACAAAGCAAAGACTGACTGAATGGTGTAATCTATTAAATATTGCAAAATAAAAATAAAAGGGAAGTAATAAAATACCCCACATTCCCTCCACCAGCATATAGTAGGATCATGTCCAGATCTGGATTTTCTGACAGGGGTATGAAAGGAATGATCTGATACATACCCTGTGCATATTGAAATCTGTCTCATGTCTGCAATTGAGGAATTTAAGTGTAGCTGTACAAAGAACATTATAACAAAGAGCAAGCAAGCTTTATCTATAACTTTAACATCTATATCTGCTGTATTATTGTTATGCATAGCATGCATTACTGGGAATATGTAAGGATTGCAATTATAGGCAATAGCTATGTCCCAGTCACCCT